TTGCTATATGATGTATTTATAACTAATCAAAAGCTCAAAATGTTCTCCATGTGGTTTTTTTCAGCTTTTGTGAAGTGTTTACATGGAAAAACATTCCTTTTCATGGTAGAATTGAAGCGGAGAAGTAAGAGATGTTGAAACTCAAAATATAATATTTTTTAGACCCAAATACGACTTAGTTACTGAGCCTGATAAATTATAGTGGAATTCTGTGGTATTGATATAGTAATTTATGGTTTTTTGTTATTTCAAGATGCATATTCAAAACCTAAAAAAAATATTTTCTTTTACATCTATCATGTGCAAAATTTGACAAGGCTTAGCAAATTACTGCAAGTGGCGAGTACAAACTTTGTAATTTGAAGAGATAATTGTTTTTTATATTTCTTTATTTACTGTTTTATGTTTTAAGAAAATTACCTGAAATTTGAGAATTTATTTGTAAATAGTAATAATATATATATATACACTTATGTAGTGTAGTATAACCAAAAATGTGATTGTATTCTACAAAATACTGGTCTACTAAGACAAAGCTAAGACTTTGTAAAGGCCAGTGTTATACTATTGGATACGGTAATATGAGTGCACATGCACTGTGTCATTGCAACTTCTGTAATGCTAGTCAGACATGGCTGAAAGATCAATAAAATGTAGAAAGTGGGTATCTTCATTTTAGTCAGTCTGTTGTACAACAGTGTTACTGGCTACCTTTTCTATTGGATTTGCATCAGAAAGACTATGTACTTTCAAAATAGCATCAATGATATCATTTCTTTCTGGATGATCATCTTCCTGCCAAACAGAACCATAGTTTAGATCTATGAGATAGAATATGTTGGCATAAAATTGGCTGTTTCACAAACAGAGTTGGTGTGTGAAGCTATTTGCAACTTCCATCATGTCAGGGTTTAATATATGTGGCTGGGATTCTTTTACAGTAGGTGGTCTTGACTTGTTGGCAATAAATTTGAATAATAAATGGACAGCACACAATACACTTGTTTTAAAATAATATATATTCAAAACAGTCTAACTTCACTTTCACTTAATGTTTTCTGACTTGTTGGTTACTACTTGTATCCAGCACTTTAAATAATTGTCTCTCTTTATTTTCATCAGAAGTCTACATAGACTGGTTCAGTTAATTTAGAACCCAATTGACAAGACAAGTTATTTTTCCTATCTCTGTTGTTACAATATAGCTGTTAAACACGCTATAAAAATCACCCATTAAAACTAATCACTCACACACCAGCTAACTTCACATTTTCTTTCACTAACTAACTTTTTCTATCTTCCTTAACTTGCTCTATCTGCACATATTTATAACGTGTGGCAGAAAATATCTAGAATTATCTAGCCTTCTAGTAGCAACAATATTATACATAACTAGAAACACTTGGAAGTTTTGAGTAAGATGACCAACAATATTACTAAAGCCTAGTACAACAATCAAACAGTATACACAATGTACAACTTGTACAGAGTTACGTACAAACTTGTCATAACTATTACTTTTAAAATAATTAACTTTAAATGCACTTGTTATGAAAACTGTTAAACATTAAATCACTAAATAAACTAACTAATAACTATTAAGCTAAACAGTCTTGTATGTCCAATACATTAGAGATGGTCTCAAGATCAAGACCTGTTTTCAACATCCTGTCTGGTTATAATTATGTGCCACCATATGAAGGGAAAAGTTATTTCTTGAGGTTTTTGAAAACCAAACCAGCAATGTTTATTATGTACAGAATCTATAACCAGGTAGTGCAAGTTACTTTAATTTTTTTTTTAAAGTTTGTGATATGCCTTTTATGTATTTCTTCTATATTTAGGTGCACACTTAATAAATTAAAACTACTGATGTGTTTGACAGTAAAAAGGATAACGACACTTACGATGAACAACATTATTTAGTTGTATCAGAATGGATACAGATAAACAATCTGGAATTCTACAGATTCATTATAATTATGGATGTTTTTATTCAAATATATAACTTATTTTTATTGATTACGTAGTCCTGCGAATTTAAAATTCATAAAAGTTGTTTTGGTTATAATTGATTTTCCATAATTCAGTTATGCAGATTTTGAAAATAATATTAATTTTGTTTCTATCATGCAATAATTTTTAACAAATTGGGAAGAAAAATAACTGTGACGTAGATCAAGTTATTATTTCATTTACACAATGAACATTTTTTATTATTACGTTGTTAACAAAAATACAAACAAACTGAAGAAAAGGATAGAACATTGATATCAAACGAATATGCATTTTCATTCATTCTGGTTTTTTTTTTGTGAAATCTATATCTTTTAGTCTCAAAACTACATGTTGTGGTCTTTCTTTTATGTATTGCATCTGGAGCATCTCATTTCAATGACCAGCAATAATCAGCCATCATTATGTTTGTTGTGTTTGGGTTCTAGAACGATTGATAAGACTCTCACATCACAATTGATCTAGATAAATCTATAGCCAGAGGTTGTCAACATTTTAAGCATAACAAAATGTGACCCAAATTCAATGAAAATGATTCACTTATGTAAAAGTACATATGACATTTTGTGAAAAATCTGTATGGGATGGAGAAAAATGGATATCATTTTCGGATTCAGCTTACAGGAATTACCGTAAAACATGTAAAAATTTGAAGACAATAAAACCATTGCAGGCCTGTGTTACTATTACTGTACTTTCCTGTACTTGCGTTCTATTTTAATTTAAATACGAAGCATGTAGAATATCATGTTTCATTGTTAAGGTTGGTTCCATATGTTTAACATAAAAGGTCTCATTAAGAAACTGATTTATTGATTTCTGAAATATATACATTTTTTCCATGCAAAACATTTTATGAAAATTTGAGAAGACACAATTATTTTGAATTGCTTTTTAATTATTTTATGTTCTTGATTATTGTCTTGCTAAAGGTTTTATTTGTTTTATAATGTTTCGTAGTCATGATAATTGAATTATTCAAAAATGAAACATTTATTATAAACTCTACTTGTTAAAAGGTTTTGGTCAAGAGACAAAGTGCTTGTAGTGAGTTCAAAATATAACTGACACAATGTCCATGTTATTTGGGGGGGGGATTTACATTGTTTAATGCAAACATAATGAAAAATTATGTTTGTTTGTGTTTAATCTGCACATTATCAAAAATTCATTGCATAGGTAAGATATTGAAGTTAAAATTAAAATTCTAGAACAGAGAGAAATTCAACCAGATAACTTTAGTTTATCATGCTGGTTCTCCCTAAACTTAGGACTTGTAGGAGAAGAATAAGTACAATAATGAAGTTAAGTATAGGTAATGCAAAACTTTCACAAAGATTCTTATAATAAATGACATGGATCACATGATACATCACATAAAATTACTGAGGGAACTTAAATGTGTTTGATATTATAAAATTGAACATGACAGGTGGGGGGGAGTGAAAGGAGGAGTACAAGGATTGATTCTTAAGAAAACAACCGAAAGACACAGCTTTAAGTCATAGTTGAAGAATCTATTTAGATTTAGTTTTATTTGTGAAAAATGTAGTTCTTCATACAACGTATAATTACATACATATTACTTCCTGCAGTATGCATGTGCAGTTTTAATGAAAGTTTTTTCAGTTTTTTAATGAAAGGTTAGTGATAATGATTGTTGGCATCCTTAATGTTTATTTTTTGACAAAAGCACTAAGGGTGTGTAACATGAACATGAAAGTCCATGTTGCTACATTGACATGTGAATTTCTTGCAGGTGTATATTTTATTTTTATAGTTGTCTTAAGTCTCTCAACATGGGCTCAGTCAATTTGACCAACCACGTGACCTCTTTGTACTCAATTAAAGTCTTTATAGATTTAACACTTCTAACTTTTAATAGAGTGTGTATATCTTCAAATAATTTGGCAGACTTTCAGTAAACATTATGAGACTTTCACATACAAAAAATCATATTTTTTAGTGAAGTATTTTTAATAAAATAAAATAATGATTTGTTCATGAATATGAGTATTTGTTTTGAATAGTCCGTATGCAAAGTAATTTTCATGTTAAAATTAAAAACACCTTTCTTCATCTCAAAAATCTCCTTTGTGTAATCCCTAAAACCTCCTAAATGCATTTCAAACGTTTTTTTTCAGTAAAACTTTGTAGTTTATCTTTTATTTTCTATACCTTATCTCAAAACAGGATCGGTCAATTTAATTGACCTTTAACCACAAAAAAAAAAAAATTAGATAAACCTTTGGTGAAAATATCTTTAACTTTTTTAATATGAATGCCCTGTGGTATTATATTTGAAATGGAAATTTCCAAAGAATTTACTAAACAAAATAAGTACAGAACTTTGAGGAGAAACTTAGGATGTTTTTAATGGTATAGATTAATAAGGCTGAAACTGAAGATGTGTAACTGGACTTATAAACTGAGGCAGTTGAAAATTCGAAATTTCTTTACAAGCACACATATATGATCAAAAACATTTCAATTTTGAATTATTTGATTTCCATATCATATAGTCAAAAGTTAAGTTTAATTTACAGAAAAATAAATGTTTAGAGATAAGTATTGTGTATGTACAAAATTGCAACCTTCTGAGTTATGGTAAAACTTAAACTTATATACATTTTCAGAACTTTTTTGCTTCCTACTATTGTCAAGATAAGATGAAATTTTATTACCACTCTACTAAATGTAAACCTACTCTGAAGCTATAAATTTTTCAAATATTGAAAAAGTTATTTTTGTAAAGAATAAATACTTTTCAGTACATGCTATGTAAATTAAAAAAATAAAGTACAGTGTATCAAACTAAATCTTACCTAAAAACTGATACCTACTAACTGATGAACGTGTATGTATTATATAGTTAGAACACAGTATTGTACACACACACACACACTCACATATATATAAATATATATGTGTGTGTGTATATATATATATATATATATATATATATATTATTATTATTCTTTCAGAATGACTTGAGTCTTGAAACGCCTGCATCATTGTACAAAGTCATTGCCTTATTGTTACAGAATGGGCTTATCAATCTAGATGAAATTTATGGTGTGGTAAGTGGTGACTATTTTAATATTCTATTGCTATTATTTTTCAGTAATAGATATGCTTATAAGGCATTTTTGTTAGAATATATAAGATAAAACTTATTAAAATAGCAAGAAAACAAACTTCCCTCTACCTCTTTCACTTTGAGGTCATTGTGCTACACAGCCTTTTTACATTATATCTTTAAACTATGGCTCACAAATAGTTTTTATGTTTCAAAAACTCTTGTAGAAGGATATCTTTTTATAACATACATATTCTCAATTAATAGAGCTGAAGTGTTTTGTTAAAATTATTAGAATACTTATAATTACATTGTTTCTAATTTGTGTCTTTGATACTGTTGGTTACTTGATTTTGCACCTTATAATCAGCTTGTGAAGTAATATTTGTTCTTTTAGTTTTAATTTGTAGACCTTTTACCAAATTTTAGGAACAAAGCTAGATAAATTAACTTATTTTCTCTTGAGAAGAGAAGGGCAAGAGGTGATCTCATTAAAGTTTACAAGATTAGCCAAACAATGGCAGGATAAAGGCCACTTTTTTATGCTGTATCCTGAAGACAATTAGATAAGGGGACACAAATTTAAAATTTGGAAAAGGCAGATTAGGCTCCAGTTAACACAGTTTTATTTTTTAGAAATATAATAAAGTTTTACATTTTATAAAGATAAATAGGGATTGATATATATACGTAACCTAGCTATCTATAATAATATAGAAAGTTTTAATGCTACAAAAAGTATTGAAACAAGAAAGTCAAAACACAGAAACTGAGTTATTAAAATTTAAAGCATTTTATCCCTGTTTTGGCAAATCACTGTAATTATGTTAGTCTGAGCCAAAGTACAGATACATTTTTAAAATTCTAAGTAACTCAGTTTTTATAGTTTTGACCTTCTTATTTTAATACTTTTTAAAGTATTAAAACTTTCTGTATTACTATAGCTATCTAGGTTACATATATATCAATCCCTACTTGTCACCATAATATTAAAACGTTTTCTGTTATACGTGTTTCCTTTTTATTAGCTGTATTTTTGTGTGCCAGTAATAGCAAGCATGGGGCACTTGTATACCTGATATTATTTTAATACTCATCAGGTTCTCAACTATTTTACCCTGAAACCTAATTATATGCCCAAAGTAGTGCATCCTCCATTTTATATACACACACACACACACACACACACACACACACTAATATGCTTTTTGGTAAAATAATGGAATCATTGGAAGAGTTCTGTGAAAGAATTAGAGCAATAAATTCTTTCTAATTTTTCTATACTCTTGTCTGGAAAAACCACTTACTTACTTAGATGAAAATTAGTTGAGATAGTGAAATTTTGATTCACTCCATAAACACATAAATAGCAATTTAGGTGGCTTTTTAAGTACAGAAAACTTTAATTTTTATCAGCCAATACTGTGAAATAGTTGTTTTTAAATGGGCAATTTTTGTGGCCACCATTTTGTTTCATCACAATCCCTACTTAATGATAACAAGGGGAATTGATTATTTCCAGAGAAATTAAGGTTGGATTTAAGTTTCTACTTTTTCTCTTCTGAAAAGTTGATGTGCAGGGACAGCCTTGAAGAAGTTATTTTAAATTTGGATTCCTATACGATACATACCTCCTTTCACACACTAACGTTTCTTGATCTTCCACTGCCCTAATACATTGAAAAGAAATTTTCTCCCTTGATGCACTAGCCTTTACACCCCATAAGTTTCAGTTTTATGTGATGTATCATGTGATCCATGTCATTTATTATAAGAATCTTTGTGAAAGTTTTGCATTACCTATACTTCATTATTGTACTTATTCTTCTCCTACAAGTCCTAAGTTTAGGGAGAACCAGCATGTGACAACCCTCCACCAATAGGAGCACAACACACATTGTTAGAGCAGCTGGCTCTCTCTGTAAAACTTTATGTGAACCACTCTTTCTCAATTGGCACAATATGAGTCAGATGTATTTCTCACTTGCTTTCAGTTTTCAATAATTTTTTTCCCAATACTTTGGACTTTGTTCTTTTTTTTAAAAAAAGTTGGCTTTGCTTCATATTTCCTTCTGGTGTGTTACACACTTTAGTTACAATTTTCACACAAATCATCATGAATTATGAATTTGTGATTTTGTGTGATTACCAACACAGGTCCTGGAGACACATGAATTCATGTTACCGTGGCCTTGGGAACAATGTTATCTGCCAAGGATTTGCAAAGGAGTTGGCTTCTCACATGGGGCCTAGGCCTTCTTCTCCACAACAGCTGGTGCCCCTTCAGGCTGATGAGAATGTTCAGGAAGAGGATGATTTATACAGCCTTCTTTTATCATACTGCCACATTCTGTATTTCTGGAGAAGGTTCGACCTTCTACTCATTTACTCCAATTAATCACACAGGTTTGTCATGTTTAGAATGTGTCTCCTGTTCCTGTGTTGCTTCTTCTTTCTTTTTTTTGTGAGATCCTTAACTTAGTGTTTCCCCCTTCACCTGACATTGAGGTTCATGCACAATGGTTTTTATCACAGTTAAGTTTGGGGGTTAGTATGCCTTGACCCTCTTGAATTTCTAACCAACACCCTTTAGCATTTCATTGCTCTTCAAATCCTTATTTAGATTCTCAACAGTAAGATCTGCTTTATCCCCCTGGGGTTCTAATCCTGAGGCTTCTGTTTTACTGTTACTAACATTTTGCATTACCTTTCCTTTTTGCACCTTTTCAATGAGGCTTTTTGTTCTCCTGACAATATTTCAGATCACTTCGGTGGTTGACTTTGGCAAGGCTATCTTCATCAGCCCTTTTCATACTTACCTGACTACTTTGCCATTGGGATGTATTGGGGAAAGATGCTCTGCTTGCAGAAGTACTTCTTTCTTCCCTTGGGGACTTAAGGCTGGCTCCATTTTTGCATGACACCATTTTGGAGGCTGTCCTGATTCTTTGGAGTCCCAAGTTGATGTGGCCAGGTTGCATACTTCCCTATAGTCCCTTGCTAATCATTTATCCCAACCTTCCTCCTCCACAGCTTCTGATCCTATTCCTGTTTCCTGTCCTTCCTTCTTCCCCTCAGACAGAGGTTGGTGGTTGGACAGAGGTAATACTACAGCTGTTGTTCATCTTCCACCTCCTCATCTGGATCTGTATCTTTTCACCAATGCTTCTCTTGTGGGCTGGGGTGCATATTTCATCACCCAGGAGATTTCTGGGACTTGGTCTTCAGGCAGATCAAGGCTTCATGTGAACATTTTGGGGCTCTTAGCTATTCCTTGGGCTATGTCTAATTCATCCAGCTTCTGAGGGGGAAGGTAGTTATGGTGCATTTCAACAACTCCACAGTGTTGTCATACATCACTCACTAAAACCTTGTGACATGTGCAGAAAAAGATGTTCATGGAGAGAGGGTTAAGTAAGTAATCATATTTTATTATGCATTACTGTTACATATTCTGCATTTCTGAGATTTTATTTGTCAGGTATTCAAAAGTAAATATGTTTGACACATTGCATCATCTAAGGAAGATATCAAATAAAGAACCTTCAGAATAATGTGCATGTTGAGGGAGGTTATTCCATGAATTTCAAGGCCATCTATAAGTAATGGCAATATTGCTTACAAATTTTACTCCTTTTGTGTTCATAATCTGCTCTTTTGTGCAGTGACAAGGTTAGGAAAAACAATCGTAAATAAAAATAAATACAATAACTTTTACATCTATTGTTTCTTATAGAATGTTGCAAGATGCATGAAAAAACAATATATATATATATTTATATTACGCACACATATCTGTATGGCTTTATGCAGTAAAATGTAATCAAGATTGTTGTGTAAATATATATAGTTTATAGTAGTTACTATTTTAAATATAGCTCTAACAACCTTCCCTCACTTCAAGGCACATTATCTCCAGTAGCTATTTTATTTAACACCTCTCCAATAAGTACAAAATTTAGCAAAAATTACTCACTATAAAATCGTCACTGCTCAGACAAACCATAATTTTTATAGTCTTCAATCTTGTTTGGTTACTGAGCCATCAAATAGAAAATCAGACCCTTCTTGCCACACCCATCTGTTACATCCTCTCTTTCAGGATTTGTTAATAGTTCTCTCTTAGGCCTAATACTATATTGTTTGTAACCAATCGAAAGCCAAGGTTTTCACCTATCAAATGATGTATTATATTACATTATTTTCTGAACAGAGAATTGTCAGTTTCTCAGTTAGTACAAGCTTTGTTCCAACAAGAAAGATAACAATTAGCTTGGTTGAATTTGTTACAGTATTTGTTGCATTGTGGTAGTTAGGCAAAATTATCTACTTTTTGTATGTTATTATTCTATGTTCTTTGGTGCATTATTCAATTAAATACAAATTATTTAGTACATTACTACCATCAGTATAAAAATGTAGAGTTAAGTGTCATCGACAATCGACAACAACAACAAAAAAAAGGAGATGGTCCAGGTAAGTACTGTATTTATAGTTTTCATGTTTATTCTTTATTTATTATTATAAAAGTAACTAAAATGTAAAAGAAAGGATCTCTTTAGGTTAGTTAAGGCTAGAATAGGTAAAATAAATAATAATATAATAAAATTGTTTCATGAGGCATGCACTCGAGTAGCTTGTGGTTAATGTAATTCGATAGCATAATGTGAGCTCCATGTTCCCCAAGTGATTTACAACTTAT